TAACAAAGGGTTGGGCAACTTCTCCACACCATTGTCAACACCTGGTATTTTCTTTTCTTTATCACACCCATTCTGGTGGAGGTAAGATAGTAGTCTCATATCTGGTTTTGATTTGCATCTCTCTAATGTTCCAGTAGTTGGAAAATATGGCCTTGGTGATAGAAATAACACTGGAGATGATATGATAGAATTTTGCAAGACCAATGACTTATTCATTGCAAATACCTTGTTTCAACAACATAAACAGTGGCTATACATGTGGACTTCATGAGATAGAGTACACAGGAATCAGATTGAGTTCATCTGTGGCAAGAAGCAATGAAGAAGCTCAATATCTTCCGTAAAAACAAGGCCAGGAGCTGATTGTGGACAGACCACAAACTACTGATATGCAAGCTCAAGTTGAAGCTGAAGACAATTAAAACAAGTCCATGAGAGCCAAAATATGACCTTGTCTATATCCCTCTTGAATTTAGAGACCATCTAAAGGACAAGTTTGATGCATTAAACACCAATGACCCCAAATCACAGGAATTGTGGGATGACATCAAGAATATCATCCATGAAGAAAGCAAAAGGTCATTAAAAAGACAGGAAAGGAAGAAAAGACCAAAATGGATGTCAGAAAAGGCTCTGAAATGTGCCCTTGAATGAAAAGTAACTAAAGCAAGTGGAAGCAATGACAAGATAAAAGAGCCGAACAGAAGATTTCAAAAAGCAACTCAAGACAAAGGACTTGGAATGAGGGATATCATTGCTGATGTCAGATGGATCTTGGCTAAAGCAAAAAACACCAAAAAGATTTTTACTTATGTTTTATTGACTATGCAAAAGTATTTGATTGTGTAGATCATAACAAATTATGGGTAACACTGAGAAGAATGGGAATTCCAAAACATTTCATTGTGCCCAAGAGGAACCTGTATGTAGACCAGGAGGCTGTCATTCGAACAGAACAAGAGGATACTGCATGGCTTAAAATCAGGAAAAGAGTACATCAGGGTTGTATCCTTTCACCATACTTATTCAATCTGTATGCCAAGCAGATAATCTGAGCATCCAGACTATAAGAAAAACATGGCATAAGGATTGGAGGAAGACTCATTAACAACCTGCGATATGCAGACAACACAACTTTGCTTGCTGAAAGTTAGGATGACGTGAAGTAATTACTGATGAAGATTAAAGACTGCAATCTACAGCATAGATTACACCTCAATATAAAGAAAATGAAAATCCTCACAATTGAGCCAATAAGCCGCATCACAATAAATGAATAAAAGATTGAAGTGTCTAAGATTTCATATTACTTAGGTCCACAATCAACACCAATGGAAGCAGCACTCAAGACATCAGATAACATATTGCATTGAGCAAATTTGCTGCAAAAGACCTCTTTAAAGTGCTGAAGAGCAAAGATCTCTCTTTGAAGACTAAGGTGCGCCTAATCCAAGCCATGGTATTTTCAATCACCTCATATGCATGTGAGAGCTGGACAATGAATAAGGAAGACCGAAGAAGAATTGATGCGTTTAGTCGTGGTGTTAGCAAAGAATACTCAAGGTATAACGGACTGCCAAAAGAACAAACAAATGTGTGCTGGAAGAAGTGCAGCTGGAATGCTCCGTGGAAGTGAGAATGGCCAGACTTCTTGTGACCTACTTTGGTCATGTTGTCAGAAGGGACCATTCCTTGGAGAAGGATATCATACTTGGTAAAGTGGAGGGTCAACAAAAAAGAGTAAGGCCCTCAACAAGATGGACTGACACAGTGGTTATAAGATGGACTGACACAGTGGCTAAAATGATAGGCTTAGGTATAGCAAGGATTGTGAGGCTGGCATAGGACTGGGCAGTGTTTCATTCTGTAGTACATAGGGTCGCTACAGGTCAGAGCCAACTCGACAGGACCTAACGACAATGTTCCCTGGTGGAACAGTGGTTAAGCATTACGGTGCTAACTGAAAGGTCAGTAGTTTGAATCTACCAGTTGCTCCATGGGAGACAGGATCTCACAGTCTGCTTCTATAAAGATTTACATCCCTTGGAAACCCTGAGATTATAGCCGTTGGTCACCCTTCGGACCTGGAACTGAACTCACTCCAATAACTCAATTTTTATTCAAACAAAAGATAGATCTACAAGATGAATAATAACTCTAGGAAGGTAGACACTCCTTAGAATATAAACCATTTGAGATCAAAACACAACATTTGCCCAAGGAGATAGTTCAGAAGGTAGGAAGGGCTAAGGGAGAAGGAAGAATGGAAATGAGAAACACAGGGAGGATGTGGGAGGAGTGATGTTACGTTGAGGGGACTGCAATCAATGACATGAAACAAAATGAGTGTGAATTGTTCAGTGGAAAACTGATTTTCTCTGTAAGCTTTCACTTAAATCACAATAAAAAGTTTGAAGAAGAAAAAAAGATTTATAGGCTTGGAAACCCTCTGGGGCAGCTCGATTCTGTCCTACAGGATTCATATGAGTCAGAATTGACTTGACAACTTGATGACTAATGACATTGAGCATCTTTGTGTTTGGTTCTTGGTCATTTGTATGTCCTCTACGGTGAAATATCTACTCAAGTCCTTTGCCCCCCCTCCTTTTTTTTTTTTTTCTTTTTTGATTGAGTTGTTTGTTTTATTGCTGTTAAACTGTAGGAATTCTTTATATAGAATGCATATTAAACCCTTATCAGACATATGATTCTCCAAAATTTTCTCCCAATGTGCAGGTTCTCTTTTCACTTTGTTAATAAAGTCTCCCTGATAAACTCTTACTCACTTTGTTGCTTGGTTGCTTGCTCAGTCTGCTCTTTTTATATTTCAAAAGAGATTAATTTAAGATACACGTCCAACATCAATACTGCCTCATCAATGTAACAAAGAAACCCATTCCCAGATGGGATTAAAAACACAGGTATAGGGGTTAGGATTTACAGCACATATTCTGGGGGGACATAATTCAATCCATAACAACAAAGTTTAACACTGGAAAATTCAGACCATCCTGAATCCCTGTAAATTTACCAGAAGTTGAGTACTATCTCCTTATGATATTAGAATCCCTTCTACCTATCCTGCCTCTGAAATGGGCCTGAATAGCACAATCTATCTCCCTGAAAATCAATGTTAAATTGATTATTTTACTGTTAAAATTACAATTCTTTTATTTTATCATGAGAGCACAGAGAAACTGGCTATAATAGGATTTTCACATTAGCAATCTCTACTCTGAAACCTGTTTCACTAGTGCATAAACCATTTTAATATGAAATATTTCAAACCTAGAAATAGGAATACAGAATAACAAACGCCATGCACCCACTATTCAGCTTTACCACAATATACTATTTTATCATATTTAACTTCAGATCTTTTCTTTTCTCCCCTAAATAAAATATTACCAACATATTTGAAGCTTTGTTTCTACTTCCTCCTCAATATCATTTCCCACTTCCTGGGAAAGCCACTATCTTGAGGTTGTCAATGTATACTCACCACGTGCATTTTTTTTTTCCTTCTTTTTAAAAATTATGTATATAATGTATATTAAGAATATATAGGATTATTAGGGAGCTCTGGTAGCATAATGCCTAAGGCACTTGACCACTAACAAGAAGGCTGGCGGTTCAAACTCATCAGCCACTCCTCAGAAGGAAGATGGGGCAATCTACTTCCGTAGTGATACTGCCTCAGAAACCCAAGGAGGGGTCACTATGAGTCGGGTCTGACTCGATGGCACATAACAACAACAATAGGATTATTAAGCAGGTACTTAAAAACTGTATGAACTGTGTATATGGCAGCATGCAGTCCTGATATTGTGAAAACCTTCCTAAAACAAAGTAACAGATGTTCAATAAATTGCAAGAATCCTTTAAAATTCATGTTTGCCCTCTCAAACACCTTAGGGAAACATATAGCTGAAACAAAAATAGTAAGTAATATGCATACGTCAAAACTTATAAAATTGTGCAAATATGTCTAGTTTATCATTTGTCAACTTTTCAAATTGTACGCTTTAAATATGTATAGTTTATTTTATGTCCATTATAACTCAGTAAAGGAGCCTTGGTGTTGCAATGGTTACAATGCTTGGTTGCTAACCAAAAGGTCAGCAGGTCAAACTCACTAGCAGCTCTAAAGGAGAAAAGATCTGGCAATTTGCTCCCATAAAGATTACAGCCTTAGAAACCATATGGGGCAGGTATACTCTGTCCTTTAGGGTGACTAAGAGTCAGAATCAACTTGATGACACATAACAACAATATCTCAATAAAGTCATTTTTTAAAAAAGCTAACAGGAATAAGAGAATAAAGAAGAATCTTATCCATGCTAGACTTCTGTCTTCTAAGCATTTTTTTAAGTGCTAGGCCACAATTAAGAAAACTTGCCTTATCTTCTCTTCATTTACTTCTAAAAACAAATAAAATGTTATCTTAGACAAATTAGAAATATTTGGAAGGAGAAGGGCATTACCAACAAAAAATTATCTTAGAAAAATACTTCAGATAAAATGACTAAATTGAGAGTCCATGTCTTAACAACATTGCTTTTCCTACTGAAAAGACACTATTAATATCCTTGCTATAGATAGTATTAATCAGTATGCCAGTATGTCAAATCTTCCACTGGGCCCCCTCACTTGGATCACAATCTAGCCCTATCAGCTGATTGATCTAATGATCTAATCTGATAATCTAATGACACTGAGCAGTATACAACTTTTCCCATTGAGGATACTGATCCTAATCCATTATTATTACCAAAGGTTATAACCATTTTTCCTTTTGTTAACTCTATTTTCATATCCTCTTGCTCCCCAAATGTAACAAAGCAGGAAATCCTTAAATTCTACCTCACTAAAGACCTGAACCCTTAAGCTACAATTTAGCCCCCTCAAAAAACTGAGACCCAACCAACCTCAATGATTTCAGTAACACAGCAGTTATTGAACTTTAAAGCCCCCAAACACAAACACATTCAGGTATCTACCATCTCCAAAAAGATGTGTCACAAGTCTGGTGAGTGTCTGTTTGAGGTCAAACTCTACTAGCTTCAGGGCTTCCATGGTGTGTGTCTCTTGTTTATGGGCAGAGCGAGAACTTTGTTCAAAGAGCTGCAGGCTTTCTCCATCCTTTATGCCAGTAAACAACTGTAAAAACAAGAGGAATCATATGAATAAGTAAAAACAGTTTCCAAGCCAGTCTATAACAAATAATGTAGAAATTACTCTAAAAACAAACTGTTACTCCAAGTTATAATATAGCAATAAAACTCATTAAGTTGTATAGTCAATAAATAGTCTGAAAGGAGCCCTGGTGGTACACTGATTAAAGCACTCAGCTGCTAACCAAAACATTAGCAATTTGAACCCAATAGCTAGCTACTCTGCAGGAGAAAGATGTGGTAGTCTGCTTCTGTAAAGATTTACAGCCCTGGAAGCACTATGGGGCAGTTGTATTCTGTCCCATAGGGTTGCTCTGAGTAGGAATCGACTTGATGGTAGTGGCTTTGGGTTGAACAAGGCACTATACTAAAGGTGTGCAGAATTTAAAGAAATTTAATGAAAACACACTGTTCAGATCCTTATTGAGCTCTCCTTCCACATCTAACTGAACTTATAGTCATTTCCTAAGAAGAGACATGATGCTCCAGTATAGTGAGTACACCTGTGTAATAGCCTTTTCGAATCTAAAATTCCATCCCTGACTATCTCAGAGTCCTTACAGTGAGATCAGAAACTAGGTAAGACAGTATAGTCTTGAGATGCAATGCCATAAAGTTCACGAAGGCAGGAGCCATGATAGATTTTGTAAATCTTGTATCTCCAAAGCACGGGGCAGGACCTGAAACATATTTCTGCTCTGTACTATCCATGAAGACTTAACCCAGTGACAAAATGGCTAAGCCTCAAATAATGATCTGTAAAATAGCAAGAGTAATCCTAACTTATTAGGTTTTATGACAAGTAAATAAAATAATGCATGAAAAGCATAAAGTACTTGGCACATTGTAACGGCTAAATAAATTTTACCCATTATTGTCCTCATCATCATTAGTCATGGTTGGTATTAGTCATAAGCTGCTTTACCACTGATAAAAAGTGCTCTCATCTTTAGCAACACAGCAAAACTTTATTTGCTATTGGTGAGGAGACTTGCTGAAGATGAACTAAGCAAATAATTCTATCATTCTCCCAATCTAAAATCCCATTAAACTGAAGATTTAAACATTTTTAAACAAAAGAATGAATCAACTTCCATTTCTACTAGTTTTGTAATTAGAAACAACCCTCCTGATAAATGCAACTAAAAAATACAAAAGCTTTTAAAGCATTAAAGAAGTAACAAAATAGAATTACTGAACAAAACTTTATAAGAAAAGCACAAAGCCAGAGAAAACCCCAGCACGTAGACAGAAAGGAGTCCTGAGAGTGGTCTATCAGATGTGTAAACGAAAAAACTGAACATTGGTTGAGACAGTATATCATGGCAAATGAGACAAAAATGAAAGCCCAGGGTCTAAGTAGGGAAGTCTCATAAACAGCCCTAAAGGAATTACCACATGATAAGAAAAAACACAAAAGTAAAGCCATTCTATATAGACTTGTAGTCAAGTGTCACGTCCCCTAGGCAGTACAGAGAACTTCAGGCTCTACAAATAGATTATTCCAGAATGACAGTAACTCTAAATGTGTAGCAGTATCAAACAAAAATCATTTGTGATCATAGATTTGATCATTCTAAGCCTAAAATTATTCTTACAAAAGTTGAAAATAATGAAAGCTGCCAAAAAATATATATACCAAATCCAGTGACTAATACAGTAACACTAAGGAAAAGGAAGACACAGAGAGGTGCACAAGAGAGATAGGCAACGAGGATAAACACTTTTACACAGACAATACTGTGTTATCAGTGATATTAAACATTAATCTACAGGTTTAGGCAAAAGGGAATATACCCATGAACATATATGAGGTTAGTCATCGCTGTTGAGTCATCTCCGACTCATAGCGACCCCTCCTTGGATTTCCGAGGCAGTAGCTCAATTTTATTTCCACATATGTATTTATATATACTGTAAGAATGTACATATACATAATAGAGCTAATAGAGAAAAGTTACGACAATTTCTTAGCCACAGTCAAACACCCTGAGGGAATGAGTCACTGACTGGGCCCATGGGCTCAGGATGATGGCTGCATGGGATATCAAGCTCAATTGACTTAACACACTACACAAAAACATTGTTCTACATCCTACTTTGGTGAGTAGTGACTGGGGTCTTACAAGCTTACAAGCAGCCATCTAGGTGCAACAATGGGTCTTTTCTTGTCCAGAGCAGAGAAGAATGAAGAAAAACAAAGATGCATGAAATAATTAGTCAAAGGGAATAGCAGACTATGGGATACTCAGCCTATATGACCATGAGACCAGAAAAACTAGATGGTACTCGGCTATTACTGTCAACCACTTCAAAAGTTATCAGTGCAGGAGATCCTGGACAAAGTCGCAGAACTATGTGGAATAAAATTCAAAGTCATAAAAAAGACCAGGCTTACTGGTCTGATAGAACCTGATGAAACCCCCCAGACTATGGCCCCTAGTCACCCTTCACATCTATAACTGCACTCACTTCTGTGGCTTCCAGCCAAACAATAGACAGGCATATAGATAGGGTGAACATTTATACCAGGTAGATACCCTCCTTAGAACAATCAATCATGGAAGAACAGAAGGGCAGTATTGGCAAAGGGGGATACTCAGGGGGCAGGAATGCATAGAAAAGAAGTACACAAGGAAGAGGTAACCATAGGGAGGAAGTGGGAAGAAAGCTGTTACATTGTGGGGAATGCAGTCAATATCATCAAACAAAATGTGTACAAAGTTCTGTATGGAAAACAGATTTGCTTTGTGTACTTTCACCCAAACTGCAACAGAAATTAAAAAAAAAAAAAAAAAAAAAAAGGCTGACAAGGTTTGTGTCTTTCAGTACTTCCAAAAATAATTTAGAATTTACAAGAAGAACAAATAAAGCTTTTAAACACCATGCCTCAGTAAAATTTGAAAACAGGGAATGCCCAAACTTCAAAATAACTACACGTAAAAAAGCATGAAGGAAGGGAAAAAGAAAAGCTAAATTCTAGGGAGAGCTCTTACACTCCTATGCTATTATAAGCTTTTGGGGTAAGTAAGGACAAACTGATAAAAACCGAAGAATAGAGAGAAAAGGGAAACTAGTGAATGGCTTAGGCTGAGCTAAGATCATCATCAGAAAGGGTAAGTCACCCTAAGCATGAAAACCATAAAATGTTGTCTAATAGAACAGAACAGGGACTGCAGAAAAGTGTCTGGAAAGTATGTCCAGCTTGAAGTGACAGTCTTCAAAAGGCTATAATGGAAGACACAAAACTTTTTTGTTTTTCTTTAAAAAAAAAATCTCTGAAATTGGCCTTTGGCATTTGGGTTAGTGTCTTAGTTATCTTAGTGCTGCTATAACAGAAGTACTACAAGTGGATGGTTTTAATAAAAAGAAATGTATTCTCTCACGGTTTAGGAGGCTAGAAACTTGAATTTAAGGTATAAGTTCCATGGCAGGTTTTCTCTGTCAGCTTTGGGCGAAGGTCCTTGTTAGCACAAGGACCGTAGGTCCAAAGGATGTATTCTACTCCCACCTCTTCTTTCTTGGTGGTAGGAGGTCCCTCTCCTCTCTGCTCACTTGTTTAATCTCTTTTATATCTCTAAAGAGATTGACTCAAGATACAACCTAATCTCATAGATTGTATCCTTCCTCATAACTTTTTCTACTTCTGCCACATTAACTTCATAGAGGTTATGATTTATAATACTTAGGATAATTAAATCAGATTTAAAAAATGGAGGACAATTACACAAATTTGAAAATCATGGCCTAGCCAAGTTGATACATATTTTGAAGGAACACAATTCAATCTGAAACAGGTTAAGAAGAGGAAAAGAAGCAAAAGATAAAATTCAGCATCCTACAAGATAAAATAAATATAAAACATAACAGGACTTGAAAATCCATTTCCCAACTCCCAACTCCCCCCAAAAAATCTACAAAAGAGAAGTTAATAAATCTATATAGTTATTATATAGATTTATTAGTTCAACACAGTCCAACTGATAAAATTCATCCCTTGCAAAAAAAAAAAAAAGAAAAAAAAAGGGGCCAACAAATAATATAAGACAACACTTGACATTCAACTAAATAAGCTCAAACAAACATTTGAGGATAAAAAACATTGTTTGAATCGGAAACTCAAAAATTGAAAACAGAAATGGATGAAAAACAATGAAAAAAGTTAATTGAACTCAGGAACAAAATAGAAGAAAAAAAATAGAATTGTTTCAGAACTGAAGTCTAAATTTCAACGTATGCAAGAGATAAAAGACTCAATGAAAAGTTAATAAGGGACATTAAAACAAAGCAAGAAAATAATCAAGAGAAAGGCAACCAAATGAGGAAAGAAAAGTCAAAGAGAAAGTGATAAAAAGGAAGACAAAGAAGAATAGCATTTGTACAATTGGGGTGTAGTAAATTACCTGGTATGGCTTTTCTAGCCATTGTTGTTGTTGTTGTTGTTGTTATGTGCCGTCGAGTCAAACCCGACTCATAGCAACCCCTCCTTGGGTTTCTGAGGCAGTATCACTACGGAAGTAG